CTTCGTAGAGTGATGAAGGACCACTACGAGCACCTGAAGACGATAGAGTTCTGTCTACTTCCCCAGGCCCTCAACCTCAGCCTTACCCCTAGTGAGCAGAGTTTTGCAGCCGATAGAGTTATCTTTGCAGAGGAGGACAGATGCCTTCGTGTCTTAGCTATCCACCTACTGGAGCAGGATAGGTACGTGACCCAGCTTGAGCAGAAGAGACGTCGGGACTGGGCTCTTCTATGGGAGTGCTAGGAGTGAGACTCGCAGGGAGCACAGGAGCGAGCTAGTCTGCTCGAGACAGTTGCCAAGCTACAGGATGAGCTCAACCATCGTGAAGAAGTCCACAGAGCCGAGGTCGCTGACTTACAGGACAAAGCAGCCGACCTAGGCAACAGGAACTGCTACCTCGACAGCAAGGTCTTGGAGTTGCAGAGGGAGTTGGACGACAAGAAGGCTGAGTTCCACCGCAGAGGAGACAGAGAGAGGTCCAAGGGGATTGATATGCTGAAAATCCAATCTCGGAACAAGACCATGACCCAGGAGCTAGAGGAGTTCAGGAAGAAGACCGTTCGCAACCAGGGTCACCTGATCGAGGCACTCAGGTAGAACGAGTACCTACAGGACAAGTGTGAGAGGACTTGGCAGGCTTGGCAGAAGTCTGACAAGAAGCGCCTCAGGGAGATGAAGGGTATGTGGGATCAGCTACCCAAGGAGATTCATAGCAAGACGAAGCCGAGGATAGAGGAGTTTGAGTTAGCACCGACTCGCCTCAACCTAGATGCCTGCCCTACCCTACCTAGAGCCAAGCCTACTGAGGAGCTCGTCGAGGCCTTGAAGTACGTATCCCGACTTCACAAGTCTGATGAGGAGATCGAGAACAGTCGTATTTCAGCTGCTGTGTACGAGTTAGAGTAGATGACCCTGCGTGGTCATGAGATATGTCAGTAGCTTCCATGAGTTGTACCCCATGATGTACCCCTGATGAGATGTATTATGAGACACTATGCGTAGTACGATTCTCGCACGTCTTCAAGTGTAGCTACTGGAGATGATGATATGTAATAAAACCCATGTAATGAATGCTTTGGATCTTATTGCATCCTATGGATCTTATTGCTTCTTTGTAATGAGTGTTGGATAGTATAAATGATTTTCTTTAAATCGTCAAAATCATGTAATCATATTGAATTATAAGCACTTATGGCACAAGCACTAAAATTCCTATGATCCGTGTTGCAGATGCCGAACCGCCGATCTGCTTGCCTAATGAACCGTGGACGTGCGCCCATCCCCGAACCAGTCAAACCAAACGGGGGCCGTGGTGGCATAGGGTTGGGAGTGACCAGTACAAATCGTACTGATAAATTTTGGCACACAGGTTCTGCTGAGGAGTATAGCTCCGAGGAGTTTTACGATTGAGGGGTTCGTTCCTACGCTTGAGTTTGGCGATCTTATTTTCAAGCTGTTCTGAATGAATGTTACTTTTGATTCCGTCAATGCGGCGATGTAATAATTTATGTAATTCCGCACTATTTGTACTCTAATATTATCGTTGTATGGATATGATATTCGACTGGAATTTGGGTAATATAATCTACAACGGTCTTATTACACTTCGACACTGTAGATTTTCCTTCGCGTTAATCGGGGTCGCTTCAACGACGACATTAACGATGATAGAATCTGCCTCCTCAAGCGTTGTAGCTCATCAGCCACAAGTCTGGTCGTCTACCTGGACGTCCCATCGGTACTTACCATACCAGCATACCTATACCAGCGAATATATATATGGCCTTTTCTCTCTTTTTTCTTCTTATATACTTATATGGAACTCCGAAATTAAAGTTTTTTAGACATATTTTAGAAAAAAATACATTGTTTCATTGTTTGATTTTCATTTTGAACAAGAAATAGAGCGGCGCGTTGACTTGATCAAAGACAAGATACCACAGCTTCCTAACGTGACATCTTTGGTAGTTAACGTTCATCCTACAGCTGAGCGCCGTTCCTTTGGAGATGGCGTCGCAAGTCTCCTCACAAGATTCAACAATCTCGAATACCTCTCAGTCTACAGCTAGACGAGTTACCAGCTGGGTGCATCAAGAGGGTGAGCAGAGCAGCAAATTAGATATATCCTAACTCTGAACAAGTCTGCAGCCTTAATTATATTAGTTTTTTTGTATGCAAGGATGATTTCCTGCATATGCTGCTCAGAGATGGAACGTGGACTGTCTGCAAGGATGACTATGATCAGTCGTATGAGGGGACGCCCTGTTTATGAATCGAGAGATGCATATGGAAAACACATAGCAGGAAGCTCCGTGCAGAGCTTGAGCACACAACTGACGAGCAATATTTATTCTTGCTACCATCAACCAGAGCCATGAGCAATAGTCCCTACAAAAAATGAGCTTATCCATTCCTTGGAACTACCACCATACCATGAAGATCAGCCATCATCTCAATTTTTTTAGGAAACTTAGATAATCGATAATAATTTTGTAACAGCTCTGTCACACTGGATATTTGAAAACGGGCAAGCCATATGTATTTCAGACAAAAAAAATACAATATGTATATTACAGCTTATCCCATCAGTACTACTAAATCTTACAAATTTCAGAACAAAAGCAAAAGAAATATTGTTTCTTCAAAGCTCAGCCTAACCGATGCTGCTGCATTCTTCTCAGGCTCAGTCCAGTCGAGTCACCAGATTCCAAACTGGATCTCATAACAGCAGTTGTCCTATACGTCAGGAACTTGTTTCTGATGGACTGACGTAACCAACTAATGTATCATCAAGACTGAGATGACTAATGTGGTGGTAGCCTTCCAGTAATCAGCTCCACAAGGACGATGCCGAAAGGTGAAACATCAGCTTTGTCAATTACTCTCCAACACAGAAGAACTCCGGACCATCCCCTTTTTTCTTGAAATTCAATCATGGCCTCAGACCCACACCTCAGAGGCTTCTGATCCTTTCCCCGTTTGTGTTTAAGGTCTGCTGTCTGTTTCTCCATCGTCCATCTTTGAGTGCTTCACCCATGACAATTTTTTTTACCTATTAGAAAAGGGAAACAAGTTTCAAATTGTCAAAAAATAAAAATAAAAATGAGCTCATTACAACACAAGGAAGTAGAGGCACCAACCATGACAATTGTGTATTTGTATGTATAGCCTGCATAAGTATTCTCAGCACACTTCAGAACAAGATGTCTTGTATATAACAGGAACAATTCTAGAACAAATAGAAGTTACCATGAGTTAGATGGAAGGAATTATTGAATTAATTTGGCAAAACTCCCATACTTTACACTCAGCATATATTTTTCAATTGAACTTTTCCGAAACTTCTAGCTGCATGAATCAGAAACAAATATACTGCTCATGCTGTCCATGTCTTTATTTGCACAAGTAAAAGAGAAGGGCCAGCTATATGGAACAGTGTCATCTTGATTGTCAAACAAATTGTTACTAGCAGTAAGAAGTACCCACAGTGGAAGTGAAAAAACATGTTTCGTTCTGCAGAGGGTAGCCCAATCCACTATCCGAAGAGTAAAAACTAATTGGTCTCCTGCCACTTCAGAAATACTACTAGACTTATCTTTGTATACAGTATGAATGAAAAAACTATTTCCTAGATAACCCCAGTTTTTCTACTGTCAATTTCAATTATATTGGCACTATGTAGAAATAGTGAACTGTAACCGCCCGCAGAACCGTATTTTTAAATGTGGAAGGAAGCTTAATAATTTTCACATGCAGCGCGGTTCATAATCAGAGTTTACAATTTCAGCGAAATTTTGCTGAAATTTCCAAAATATCACCTTTTTCGCTGGGTCTAAAAAAGAATTATATCGGCCAAAAAATTTCGACTAACTTGATCTTTCGCTTCAAAATTATACCAAACCATACTGAAATGGCCCTCCATATCCTCTCGCCTCATCCCTTAAATTTCTTCAAATTTATTTAATTTCCTCGCTCACACATTCAACGTCACTAGTATACGTGACTCGCCCACCGTCAGCCTGCCATATTATCGCCGCTCTACTTTTGTGATATAGCGTGTTATATTATTTCATAGTTGTTATATAAATTTGCGATGCATGGTGGGTTGGATAGTTTGTCTAGTGAAATACCCCCAAAAAAATTTAAAAAAAAATCAATTTGAATTTGTTTAAATTTGACCTTATATTTCTAAAGTTTGCAAAATTTCGTATTTATCCTCGCTGGGACCGATTTTTTATACATGTATTGTAATCCCCGGTTCTTATGCAACCGTGAAAATATTAATTTTTTTGTATTTTTAATTAAGTTGAGCTTGGTGTTAAATTTTTGTGGTGGAAACGATTCTTGTCAAAAATATTCTTCAACAAATTATATATGTTTGCAAACTTGGTATATATTTATGCATTAGGAATATACATCTTTGTGGCAATATTTTACTTATAATGCACGATATCATAATTCAAATGATCTACTCTCTCCATTTCAAATTACAAGTTGTTTTAACGTTTTTAAATACATAGCTTTTGATATGCATCTAAATATATACTATGTCTAAAACTATGTACCTAAAATAAAACCAAAACGACTTATAGTTTGAAATGTAAACAAACATATAAATGAAATATAGGGAGCAGATTTCAAATGTGTATATGGTAAAAATTTGGTAAACAATTAACGTTTGAATTTTACTAGAGATGGGAATAGATATGATATGTCCCCTTCACCAAATTGTATTGCCAAATTGAACTTAGATTAAAAAAAAGATAAAATTGAACCTAGCTATTTTCACAAGCGACTCGTATAACAAACCACAATTTTTTATGTGAACTAGCTGTGGAAGTCATTTTCAATATGTAGTTCCTTTCAATCCTGAAAGGGGAGAAGAAGGAACATGACAGACGGCACTTATTGGCTGAAATCAGACCACAAGATCACATCGCTTGGATATCACGTCCCATTTCAGGCAGCACATGCAGTGTCCTTATCTCTTAACGTATTGATTAAGACCGACCACTGGTCACGCATCTCCTTTTAGCCACAAGCACTAGCGGGTTCTTCCTGTGCACTGTCAGCGCGTTCTCCTCCTCAACATCCACCTCGCCATGCCCATGCGGCGCGCGCCAGTCAAAGCAGAGCAGCAGGTTGGCGAGCAGCAGCTCCACCACGGCCGTGGCGAAGTGCACGCCGGGGCAGCTCCTCCGGCCGACCCCGAACGGCACCAGCGCGTAGCTGTCGGCGTGCCACGGCTTGTGGTCGTTGAGGTCCGCGCCGTCGCCCCGGTGCCGCTCGGGCACGAAACGCGCCGCGTCAGCTCCCCACGCGTCGGGGTCCACGCCGATTGCCTTCGCGTTGACGAGCACTCGCGTCCCGGCTGGCACCTCGCAGCCGCGCACCGTGCACGGCTCGGTGGTCTCCCGCGGCAGCAGGAGCGGCGCCGGCGGGTGCAGCCGGAGGGACTCCCTGATGACTAGCTTCAGGTAATGGAGGCGCGGGAGGTCGGACTCGTGGACCATGTGTTTGTTCGCCACGACGCTGCGCACCTCTTGCTGCGCCTTGGCAAGAACGTCCGGGTTCCTGACCAGCTCCGTCATCGTCCATTCCACGGTCGCCGACGACGTGTCTGTCCCAGCAATAAACATGTCCTTTGCCATGCAAACACAATGTCAGTCGTCTATCGATGCAAACAATGGCATGCACTTGTGTACTCTCGTTATATATGACGTCGTATGTATCTTACCGTTAGGATGCCTTTGATCTGGCTACGGCTGCCGAACGTGCTCTGGTGAGCCGGGTCATTGTGCAGGCGGAGGAGCACGTCAACCAAGTCCCCCTCCTCCTTGGACTTGGTGCCCTTGTCGATGTGCTCGTCGATGACCTTCTCGTAGAACGCATCGAGCTCACGGAAGTTCCGGTCCAGCCGCCTTCGCAGGCCACGGACTGCGTCCAGCCATCCAAGCCACGGCATGTAGTCGGCCACAAAGAAAGCGCCCAGAAGCCTCTGCGTCTCCTCCAGGATAGCCCTAGTCCGGATGCTGTCGCCGTCGTCGCCAAAGGCGACACGCCGCACGATCCGGTTGGTCGTCGCGACAAGCCTGTCGCTCAGGTTCACGGGAGAACCGCCGTCCCTGTCCGACGACTCGTCCGCCACGGCGGCGACGAGCGCGGCTGCCTCGGCCTCCCGGACGCCTCGGAACCCGCGCACGCGCGGGGCGCCGAGGAGCTCTGACAGGCACGCGCGCCGCGCCGCGCGCCAGAACGTTCCGCAGGCCGTAGGAGAGCCTGGCGGCCGCGCACAGCGCCGGGCGGCCCGACAGGGCCCGGTCGTTGTGCTGGAACACGGCGCGCAGCGCGTCGGCCGACGAGACGACAAGCGTCGGCACGGAGCCCAGGCGGAGCAGCATGAGCGGCGCCGCGTGCCGCGAGGCCAGCGCGGCCAGGGACGCCTGTGGGTGCGCTCCGAGCTGGTGGAGGTTGCCGATGATGGGGAGTCCTCTTGTACGTGGGCCTCTTCGACGGTGAAGGCAGCACGCGCTTGAAGAGGATCATGGTTGCGAGGACCAGGAGAAGGCGTGCAAGGAGCTCGTGAACTTGGAGAGTCTCCATGGACACTGATGCCGTGCCCGCGCCGTGGTCATCTACTGTTTGCCCAGAGCTGCTGATCTTATATTATAGCTATAAATTTGGTGGCCAATAATGTTATGTGAACACGAACGATGAACTCCACAAACACAGAAAATAATAAAAAAGAACGAATGGTACACTTGGCACCGAGTTTCTCATACGCCGTTCCGCATACATTCATCTTACCTACTGCAAAGTGCAGACTTCTCCCACCAAATCTCATGTCCTGTTGGTTACCGCAACAGTGCATGAGTGCAACACGGCTTTCACGAGTCATTGTGCTTCATGCATCGTCCTGCTGCGTGTGTGTTTGTTGTGTGTGTGTGTGTGTGTGTGTGTGTGTGTGTGTGTGTGTGTGTGTTTTGAGTGCAATGCATCGTCCTGCTGGTGCTCGTGGCGTCCCCGCGCGTATGCGTAGGCGGGCCGGCCGCCCACGCCGACCAACCCAGCTGCGCCTGCGCCGGTCGATGCAAACCAGCTCGTTTCGGCCTTTCGAGCGGTGCGTCGAGATCACAAGCGCCGATTTGGCGATTTCCCACGCGCTTTGTCCGTCCACGGGTGACGGGTTAAGCGTGAACTAATCCGCTGCTTTTGGGCCGGCCAGCGCCATCCAACACGGCACGGCAGAACGCAGACGGCCGGCACCGCCAGCCTGCGAAGCCAACACAACAGCTGGCTGCTGATTCAGACACCTGATGATCCTCCTAAGGTCTTGTTTAGCTGCACTTCAGTCCACTCAATCCACATATAGTTCTCCACCCAAATTCATCCTAATGTTGGGGTGGATTAGAGTGCAGCCAAACAAGATCTAAACCCAGCAGAGACACCTAAAACTTTATTGATAGGCTACGAATGAAGGACGGGATCCTATGGAGTGTTTGTCAGACCACAAAAAAAAAAGGTCAAAGCGGGTTTTGGAAATGAATATGTAGTTGACTTGTCGTGCTGTAATGTTTGTCTGATGAATCCAAAGTGCAAAACACACTAATCAAAGCTAAGGATATTATAAGGAATAAACAAAGAAATAGATAGATTCCATGAACCGTTGTGTGAAGCTAAGCCAATCACTCAATAACGGACATTCGATTCTCATATATTTAGAGTTTTCAGGTTTAGCATGCCAATAGGATGTAGTTAGGAGGATATCTATAGTTTCTCACCTCCATAAATTTAGACATGTAGTTACGGGGAAAAGGTTTAGCATGCCAATAGCATGAGAAGAATGAAAACATAAAAAATTACATAAATAAAAGGCAAAGAAAGACGAGTAACACGTGAATAAGTTCTTTGTGCTAGAAAAGTAGAAATTTTATAACTTCATAGATTGAACCAACAACTCTAACAAAAATGATATATGGAGAAAACATGCAAGGATTCATCTCTGAAATTGAAAAGTATGATATCTAAGTCTAGTTAAATGAAATGAAATAGGTCAATTCTTATTGGCGTTGACGATACCACTGTATAATCTGTACACAATCACTATATGTATGTACTAGCTTCACAAGTATTATTCATTAACATGGTGTTACCTACAATTGAAGAACCTGATGCAGGGGAGGTTTCCTTTTCAGGAACGCTAAAATACAATCTTGTATTTACAGGTTACTATGTGAATCTGTCTTCCACTCCCCTCAAACTGGGCAGGTGCACCTGATGTCCATCCTCATCTAAAAGAAACATTGGGCGCACTCGCTGCAGCTGGAGCTGTGTCTGCAAACAGAAAACTGCTTTCTACTGTAGCTAAAACCTGATGCAGCCACAGCACAAAAAAAGCCGAATCGAAGAGGCTGGATCTTAGCAAAATACAGAGAACTTGTGTCACCAGTAATCATTGCAGGAGCAAGTACCATCCTTGAAATGATGAAATCTATTCCAGTCTCGAACAACAATCTCCCTATTGTACACCTTGGAAATCAACTTTGTGGCTGAGTGGCAGTCTGTGCACACTCTTAGATTCTTCGATAAGCGAATTGTTGCACCAGGGTCCAACTTCATTAGGCCAAATGCAATGGCCAGCTTCTCACTGTGATGGGAAACAGATACTTCCTTCTCATGCTCATCAACTTCTAGCCTCACATCAGCTGTATTTGGGATATACCCAGCCATCTTGATCCTGTCAATCATCTCCTCAACTTTCTGGTATATCTCCCTCAATTGGGGGTGGTCACTGTCTTCAGCAAAGAACTCGAAGACAACCCCATCCAGCTCAATGAGACTACAACCTGGAGTTTTCTCAATCCCTCTGTCCTTCATTTCCTTTCGAATCATTGCTGCATCCTTCCATTGTCCCACTGATGCATATATATTTGACATAAGTATGTAATCACCACTGTGATGGGAGTTCAAGGAGATGATCTGCTTTAGTGCTTCTTCCCCGATTTCAACATTTTTGTGAACTGCGCAGGAAGACAGTAGTGCCCTCCAGATAACAGTGCTTGGCTCGATGGGCATGGTTCTGATAAACTGGTACGCCTCATCTACCAAACCAGCCCGCCCCAATAGATCCACAATACATCCATAGTGCTCAGCTCTTGGCTTAATGCCATAATCCTGAGTCATGCTATCAAAATGCCGGCGACCCTCTTCAACTAAGCAGCTGTGACTGCAAGCCATGAGAACACCAATGAATGTCACATAGGTGGGCTCGACACTGGCCTTGCGCATGGATGAGAAGAGCTCCAATGCTTCCCTGCCCCTTCCATTGGTTGCCATGCCCTTTATCAAGGCTGTCCATGTCCATGAGTTCTTCACAGGCATTGACTCGAATGCTTCAACTGCCTCGTCAATGCATCCACACTTTGCATAGAAGTCCACCAATGCAGTGCCAAGAATAATTGTGAGAGGTAGACGCTTCCTTCTTATGTAGGAATGCACCCACGTTCCTGTCTCAAGTGCACCCAGGACAGCACAAGCAGAGAGCACACTGACCATGGTCACATTATTCGGCTCAACTCCAGCAAGCTGCATCTCACTGAAAAGAGCAAGTGCCTCTCGACATTGATCAGCCTGCGTGTAACCTGAGATCATTGCGCTCCAAGCAACCACATCCCTGGACTGCATCCCATCGAACAACCTCCGTGCCTTACCAAGCTCTCCACACTTGGCATACATGTCGATCAGTGCAGTCATCAAGTTTCGGCTCCTCACCAGGCCTTTTTCATCCACATATCCAGCAACCCACGTCCCAAGCTTCGCATCACCTATTCGTCCGCATGCCGTGACGACACTCACCAATGTGACTTCATCAAAGGCCAGACCAACCTCAAGCATGCCCTTAAACATCTCCACCACCTCCATCCAATATCCGTTCTTCAAGTACGCCGTGATGATTGCGTTCCACATCACCACGCCATTCTCCTCCACCGCATCGAACAGAAGCCGTGCCGCTGAAACATCCCTACAGCTCGCGTACATATGAATCAAGCTGCTCAGAACGAACCGATCGGCCATGAGCCCACGCTTGATGGCGTACGCCTGGACGCCGCGCCCTACATCCAGCGCGCACATCCTGGAGCATGACTTGAGGACGCAGGCGACGGTGTGCTGGTCAGGGCAGGCCGAAGCAGCGCCGAGCATTTCGACGAACAGGTGCAGGGCGTCCTCCGGGTGGCCCGCGTGAAGGAAAGCTCGCATAAGGACGTTGTAGCACGGCGTGGAAGGGGGCGGCCGCGGGCCCAAACGGAACAGGCTGACCGCGTAGGGGAGCAGCGTCGGAGAGGCGGCGGCCGCCTCGAGGAGGGAGTGGAAGGATTTGGGCGAGGCGGTGAGCTCCCCGGACTTGATTAGTGCCGCGTGGAGCTGTGTCAAGTAGCGCGGATCTGCGCGGAGTGGAGCACGGGGCGGCGCCGGCCCGGCGCGGGCCGGTGTGGGGAGAGCCGCCGTGGGGACGGCGGTGGCCATTCAAGTTGCCTTGGGTTTAACTGCTTATCGTTGGTTATCCAAGTAGCATCTACTGAGACACTGACATCTGGACCAACCGTAATAGGGCCCACACGATAGAGACACCTGCCCTTCATTTAAATTCCGGATCCGCCATAGTCTCCGCACACCAACTAATCACCATGGCGGCCTCCACCTCTCCACTGCTCCTCCTCGCCCTTCTCCTCCTACCCGCGCTCATGGCGGCGGCCTCGCTCCCAGCGCTGCCGCTCTCGACGGCGTCGCGGTGGATTGTGGGCGCGGACGGGCGGCGCGTGAAACTGGCGTGCGCGAACTGGGCTTCGCACCTCGAGCCCGCAGCCGCTGAGGGCCTGGCGCGGCGCGGCGTGTCGGACATCGCAGCGCGCGTGGCGGCGATGGGGTTCAACTGCGTCAGGCTCACCTGGCCGACCTACCTCGCCACCAACGCCACGCTCGCTTCGCTGCCGCTGCGGTGGTCACTGGAGCGCCTCGGCATGCTGGAGTCCGTCGCCGGCGTGCGGGTCAACAACCCCGCCCTCCTCGACCTGCCCCTCGTCGACGTGTTCCGGGTACGTGTTTTTTTTTTCGCTCAGTGGAGCACTCAAAATTGTATTTAATTGTTACTCGAGAACTAGGATTGTTGGTTTAATTGAGGTTCTATTTCTTCTTTCGGTTACTCAAGAACTAGGATTGTTGGTTTTATCGGGGTTCTATTTCTTCTTTCGGTTACTCAAGAACTAGGATTGTTGGTTTAATCGGGGTTCTATTTCTTCTTTCGGCTGATTTTGTGCCACTATCAATCAAGCGCTTGTTGTAATAATAATAAAAAAAAAACCTATCAATCAGGCGCTTGTTGTCAAAAAAAAAAATTCAAGCGCTGTTTATGTTTTTTAGATAAGGCTTACTTAACCTGGCCTTCTTTGGAGGAGCATTGTAGGAGCCAGGGATCGAACCCTGGCGGCCAGCTCCCACCCTGCAAAAGCACTGTTACTGTTAATGTGACCGGCGCTGGCCCAAGTGAGAACAATAATTTGATATAGCTTCTTTCTCTTAGCTTTGAATTGGCAAATACTAATTTTCGTTAAGTCAAACTTATCTAAGTTTGATCAAATTTGTAAAAAAGAAATGTATAACATCAACAATGCCAAATAAACGCACTATGAAAAAATAGTTAATGAAATTAATTGGATGTGGTAGGTGTTGCCGTGTTAGTGCACTTTGTGTACACGTCAAAGTTACAAAACTAAGCAAAAAAACTCAAATAACCTATTTTTTTAGCAGATCAAGTAGTATTGCGGAATTGCTGGTCTTGCAAGGTCAAAATGAAGTCGAATTTAACAATGTCTTGTCAGTTAACACTGTACCTGGATTGCAGGCGTGGAATTAGATTGTCTTTTTTATATGAAAAAAATTCAATCATTATAATGGGCAAGTGACTGCCTTAATTATACTGTCTGAAGCAAGATTATGTCATGAATCAGTTGAAGTATAGCTAAACCAGCAACTCCCCCTGTTTTTGGCCAAAACAGGTTGCTTAACAAGTCCAAACGTTACAAAGAAGAGGAAACTTGAATGCCTAGGATCTCTTTTATTTTAAACAAATGAATGCCTAGGATCTCATTAGTGCTATTTGATTTTTACTAAAACAAGTTGTACTTGCTTCCAAACTCTCTGTTGGCTAAAACAGATTGCTTAACAAGTCAAAACTTTACAAACAAGAGGAAACCTGAATGCGTAGGATTTCATTAATGCTATTTCATTTTACTAAAACAAACTGTACTTGCTTCAGAAGTCCAAACTCTGCAGATCTGGGATTCCTACTAAAGCACAGAATTTCATCAAAGAGCTCACCAAACAAGCTTAGGATATTATTCTCCTTTTAAAAGTATGAAACATCTTTTACAAATTGAGGGCTCAAGCCCAATCAGGAAAGATCTGGGCTGTTTCAGGAAACACAAAGAATAGTTGCTTAATAGTTCTCCCTCTACTCTCTTGTGTGTTCTAGGAAAGAAATAGTTCTCCTTCAACTGTTCTTATCCAATTAGTTTCAACACAGAAAACATACCTACTACTCACCAAATCAATGGTCCAATGTGAGGGTGCCTTGCAAGTATCAAAGTTCTAGCTAGAATAGGTATTGCTTTGTAGGTTTTGTTATGATGACTATAAAAGATGCCAAATTGTCAACTGGTGTATTAGGTGTACTGTTCTGTGACATGGACAGAATACTAGACTAGAAATCAAGTTAAACTAAAAACATTTGTTATTAACTTATCAATGGATAAATGAATTATGATAATTGTAGTCCTTCTGACATTAGTTGAATTCACCATAGGAAGTGGTGTCATCATTAGCCAGCAAAGGTATTATGGTCATACTTGACAACCAAATGACCACTCCAGGATGGTGCTGCAGCAGAACTGATGGCAACGGCTTCTTTGGAGATGTGTACTTCGACCCTGATGAATGGTTAAAAGGCCTCAGTGCAATGGCGACTATGTTTAACAACACAAAATATGTTGTTGGCATGAGCTTGCGGAATGAGCTTCGAGGCCCGAAACAAAATGTTAGTTTGTGGTACAGGTATGTGGGCATATTGCTGTGATGGAAATGTCATTTTTCATGCGACTCTTGGTATCAACAATTTTATTTACAATTTTAATTCCAACTTAGGTACATGCAGATGGGTGCTGAAGCTGTGCATGCTGCAAACCCTAACGTCCTGGTTATTTTATCGGGCCTGGATTTTGACAACACTCTCAGCTTCTTGTTCAAAGAAAAAGTTAACCTATCATTTTCTGGAAAGTTAGTTTATGAGCAACATTGGTATGGCTTCTCAGATGGTGGCAATTGGGAAACTCAGAACCAAAACGATGCTTGTGGGATGGTTGTTGATTTCATATGGGCTAAAGGATTATTCCTACTTCAACAAGGCTGGCCGTTGTTTTTCTCTGAGTTTGGATTTGATATGTCAGGCACACATATTGGTGACAATCGCTATCTTACCTGCTTCTTAAGTGTGGCAGCTGAAATGGATCTGGACTGGTCAATTTGGGCTCTGCAAGGGAGTTACTATATCAGAGAGGGTACTTTAGCTTATGATGAATCATATGGATTGCTATCATGGGACTGGTGTACAGCTAGAAATCCTAGCTTCATTAAAAGGATCAATTCTCTCCAATCACCATTCCAAGGTTTGGGACTTCATCTATCTAATTAATATTAGTCTTCAACATTATGAGAACCACAGCTAAAATATGTGAAAAGATTGTTGTTTATTACACGTTTTTATGATCAAAGTATGCTCAGAGTAATACTTTGTGTACATATTTTTATTCAATTTTCAGTTCTTTCAAGAGATTAACTATATGAACTTTCAAGCTTTGATTCATTCAACAGCATTACATGTAGATTTAATCCATAGAAGCTGGTTGTGTATAAACAGGACAGTAAAATTTAAGCAAAACTGAACTTCATGGAATATAAAACTTCACTACTTTTGGATCATGGCAATGCTTACTGAATTTTTTTCAGCCAGTTCATAATGAATGTATATTTATTTATATCCTAGGTCCTGGTCTTCCAAACAGTCAAGAGCCATACAACATAATATTCCATCCCCAAAGTGGGCTTTGCGTCTTGGCCAGGTCTTCAAAGTTACTTGAGTTGGGTCCATGCGACGAATCAAACGCCTGGAACTACACCTCAGCATACGAGCTAGTAGTGAAAAGCACAGGACAATGCGTTCAAGCGAAGTCGGTGGGCAAGAATGCAAAGCTTGGCACTGATTGCAGCAAACCAAGTTCGAAGTGGCACCTAATATCGAATTCGAAGATGCATGTTTCGTCTGAGCTCACGAAAAATGGAACCAGGGTGTGCTTGGACGCCAGCCCTGATGGTGCCATCAGAACAAATCAGTGCAAGTGCCTAAGCGTAGATCCGGCCTGTGACCCTGAGAGTCAGTGGTTCAAAGTGATCTTAAGCAGTAGAGACATACCTGGGGGCGACTCCATCTTGCAGTTGCCATCACTTGGTCCCTGGCCTCCGACATCCCTTAGTTCTTGAAAGTTTGAAAGCAGCTCATTTTCATGTGACCAAAGAGGAATACGAGCGAGAATTACGTGGAAAAATCCAGAGGATTGTTGAAGCCAGTGGGGTACTGTAGCATTACAGTTTGGTTTTTAATGTACAGTATGAATAATCTATTGTGCTTTGGAAGTAAGCTGTTTCTTACTTGGTGTGGGCGTTTGTGGCCGTCAAGGCCGAGTATGTTGCTCTGTAATTTGGTTTTAATATATAGAAGAGAAATTGTCTGAAAAGCTGCTGTTTTGCAGCACCAAGATTGGATATCCACCATGTTCATGTATGTTGCGTGTACGAGATCTTTGAGAGTTAAAGGAAACTGAGATAGCTCACTTGGTTAGACCACCCAAATGCAATTTCTCGTCCCCTCAAAAAATAATGCAATTTCTCGTCGTGGTGAATTAGGGATGCCTATTTTGTTCTTGTTAATAAAATGTTGCCTAGTTCCTGTTTGGTCTAGTTTCTTTTTGAAATTTTTGCGAGTTCATCGCTCGTGAGACCGAGTTTCGGTGATTTTTTTTTATTTTTGAAACGGAGTTTCGGCGATTTGATTTATCGCTGTGGCAAGATTGAGTTTTGCCATTTATAAAAACTCTTACTTATCTTCGCTGAAAAGACAAACTGAAAAGTATTGTTCGCTAATTTGTTGTGAGAGAAAAACACTGTTCCTTCGCTGAAAAAGTACGGCTCATGACATGAAACGAGATTGTTACCTACAGCACCCTTGCTTCAATGTATCATCATCTGAAACTCTCGCACTTCGCATTTACAGAGCCAATCTCGCTCGTACAAATCCACAGATAGTGATAAACAAAAAATCGTCAAGCCCACAACACAAGGGCGTGTCATAGACACCCCAAGTAACACAAAAGACAAATCCTGGGCGTGAGGCGTGAGCTTGAATCTTAGAACAACCTTTTTGGTTTCTATATGGTACGCTCTGCTTGTTCATTCTCATCCCGTCGCTTTCCGCCCGTTCAGTTGAACGCAACCGTACCAGCATTTGGCAATGCTTTACTCTGCTTAGAAAAATTTTAGCCCGTTTTGATGAAGACATATATGGAATCACATGTACTAGGGCCTTGTTTAGATGTTATCCAAATTCCAAGTTTTTTCACTCTCTCTCTATTACATCAATTTTTAGCCGTTTGCATGATGTATTAAATGTAGGTAAAAAAAATAACTAATTACACAGTTTAGTTAAAAATCACGAGATGAATCTTTTGAGACTAGTTGGTCCACGATTGGACAATATTTACCAAATAAGATGAAAATGATACTATTCATCGGGTTCACTTTTTTTTTTCAATCTAAACAAGCCGTAGTTTGCATGATTTGGCAGCACTTGCGGGACGGCATGAATTCTTAGATTACAAGCGAAACCATCCTGCGCATTGCGCACGCACTAGTACAGATTTTCTGCACATTGCAACCAATTCCAGGGGGTTGTGGCACAGTGGCACTCGAAGTAGACAGCATGCACGGAGAAATGGTACGCTGGTTGCTGTTGCTGAATGCGGGAACGGCATCGGCGTCCCTGGAAAAATTGAAGCGCAGGAGGTAGGTGGCCATTTAACTCCCTCCAACCCTCTACCGGCCGGGGCTGGCCTCCGATTTGTTTTTCCCACCCTCTGATGTGAATTAGGAGCACAGCACTGATGTCATTACTCACCACAATGGCCTTCCTTGAAGCATAGATTATATCTGAAATATTAATCATCGGCAAGCAAGACTACTTTGTTGAAAGAGATCCCTGTGCGCAGTGCGCACACATGTCGAGGCCCAGCGGCGCCTGCCGGCCCCGTCAGGTCAGCCATGGCGTGAAGCAACCAGCAGCCCTGCTATAAATCTCCACGTCCACCGCCCTCCGTGTCCTTCGCATTGACATCACCATGGGGTGTTCGTGTTCTCCACTCGCCGCGTGCGTGGCCCTCGTTCTTCTGGCGGCCTCGTTGTTAGCGTGTCACCACAACGGGTGCGCGGCGGCGGCCGTGGCGGCGCCGACGACGCTGTCGACGGCGTCGCGGTGGGTGGTGGACGAGAGCGGGAGCCGGGTGAAGCTGGCGTGCGTGAACTGGCCGTCGCACCTGGAGCCGATGCTGGCGGAAGGGCTGGGCAAGCGGCCCGTCGGCGCCATCGCCGGGGACGTGGCCGCCATGGGGTTCAACTGCGTCAGGTTCACGTGGCCCACGTTCCTGGTCACCAACGCCTCCTACTCCAGCCTCACCGTCGCGCAGTCCTTCCAGCGGCTCAACCTCACCGAGTCGCTCGCCGGCATCAGGGTGAACAACCCTGGCGTCGTCGACCTCAAGCTCATCGACGCCTTCAAGGCAAGTCTCTGTCGTCGACCTCAAGCTCATCGACGCCTTCAAGGCGCACCGAGCACTCAGACGTGACGTTGTGTTGTGGATCGGATGTGCATGCAGGCAGTGGTGACCAGCCTGGGCGAGCACAACGTGATGGTGATCCTGGACAACCACCTGAGCAAGCCCGGCTGGTGCTGCAGCAACACCGACGGCAACGGCTTCTTCGGCGACGCCTTATTCGACCCGGACGTCTGGGTGGACGGCCTCACCAAGATGGCCACCATGTTCGCCGGCGTCCCCAACGTCGTCGGCATGAGCCTTCGGAACGAGCTCAGGGGGGCCAGGCAGAACGCGAACGACTGGTACAAGTAAGCACTCAAAACTGTTCATATCACATGTTTTTCTTTGACTCTGAGGATGCAAATACGATCAGTGCAAGTAGAACACTGGATAATTCTAGTTTTACTGTACTAGCTCCTCTGTCATGGGTTTTAATACCCGTAAATGAACGGCAGTGTGTGGTTGGCACTGGCAGCTTGCTTCCTACCACCATAGTACTCCAGCAGGAGCACAGTGCACAGAGGACTGGAACAGTGCACACTACTGCAGAGGACAAGTACTTCGCTATCTTTACATCTCTCTGCAGTCTGCACTGCTCCTGCACAACATGTGAAGATCAGTAATGGCGTTTCTTGCACAGCAGTACGAGTTCTTCATGCATTCACTGTAGTGTAGTGCACCGGTAGTGCCAGTGTGCCACCAGCAATTTCATCTGTTCTGGAGGACGAGCTTTGAATAGTACAGTTGTTGGAGTTGGTAACCGCACAGCTGGCAAGCGGTGTAGTTAAGCTCGTTGGTTTAAGCCAGAACTTATCAACTATGATATAATATTTATGGTATAATATTTTTCTCACGCAGCAAATCACATCAGCCCAGTCCGTAACCAGCAAACGGACACCAGCCGCACTAACGCGTCGACACGCACGCAGGTACATGCAGCGCGGCGCGGAGGCGGTGCACGCGGCGAACCCACGCGTGCTGGTCATCCTCTCGGGCCTCCAATTCGACAACGACCTGGCCTTCCTCAACTCGCGGCCGGTGAACCTCAGCTTCACCGGGAAGGTGGCGTTCGAGGTGCACTGGTACAGCTTCTCCAACAGCCCCGAGTGGAGCTCGAGCAACGCCAACCAGGCGTGCGCGCGCATCACGACCGGCATCACCCGCCGCGCCTTCTACCTGCTCGACAAAGGCTGGCCCGTCATCCTCGGCGAGTTCGGCGTCGACAACCGCGGCGTCAACACCAACGACAACCGCTACTACGGCTGCGCCGCCGCCACCGCGGCCGACCTGGACCTAGACTGGGCGCTTTGGGCGCTGTAGGGGAGCTACTACCTCCACGAGGGCGTGCTGGGGCTGGACGAGGTCTACGACGTCCTCGACTGGGCCTGGTGTAGGCTGCGCAACGCCACCGCGCTGCGCAGGGTCCAGGCGCTCCAGCGGCCGCTCAGGGGCCCCGGCCTCGCGGAGGCGGCGCCGTACACCGTGCTGTTCCACCCGGTGTCCGGGATGTGCGTGGTGGTGCGCCGCCGGTCGCCGACGCTGACGCAGCCCCTTGAGCTGGGCCTGGGCCCCTGCAACGAGACGGAGGCGTGGGAGTACAGCGCGCAGCAGCAGCGGCTGGCGCTGCGGGACACCGCGCTGCTGTGCCTCCGTGCCGAGGGCGCCGGCAGGCCCGCGACCCTCGGCGTGAGCTGCGGCGACGCGATGGCGAAGTGGAGCCTCGTGTCTGACTCCAAGCTGCACGTCGCCGTCAACGCGACGTCGTTGGCCGGGAGCGACGGCATGCTCTGCCTGGACGTGGGCGCGGACGGCCGGAGCGTGGTGACCAACCCGTGCCGGTGCCTGAGCGCGGACAACAGCTGCGACCCGCAGGGGCAGTGGTTCAAGCTCGTGAGCAGCACCAGGAGCGTGGCCACCAAGCCGACCATGCTCGCGCAGCTGCCGCTCGAGCTCAAAAACTGGAAGATCAGGTCGTTTTGAGCGTTTCCCCGTAGAATATAACTTCAGCTAGGCTACGTAAGCTGTAGCACGTGACGTCGTGGAGGTGGAACGGCGGGAATAGAGAAGCACTGACCTAGAACTTGAGCAGTGTTCTCGAGGAGACTGATCAGCAGAATATCACTATATATCAGCACAGTGCATGCCCATGCCTTTCTCTGCGAGACTTTCTAAAAAAAATAAGAGAGAATTATCTATTTTAGCATTAAAATAAATCAGTCTTCTGTACGTAAGTACTAAAAATTTTAAACTTTTTATTTAATATCGTCCATTTTGATAAAATTTCGTTAGCTGACTGTATTAACCGTGGTACTTTGCTTTAATAAGGACCAAAATGCCCTTCTGCTTATCACGCAGCTCGTCTCCTCTCCGACGAAGAAGCGGCGCCTCCTCCTCCGTGGCGGCGGCGACACAAGTGGTGGCGCCCCTCCCCCCACCTCCTTCTCCAACGACGGCGGCGGGCTCCCTCCCACCACCGATGGTGACCCCAAGCGGCGCGCGGCCCGAGCCGCGGACACGGCAGCCCTTAGCAACGGCGCGGCCCGACCCGCGGGCACGCCACCGCCCACGGACATGGCAGCTCCCGGCGGCGGCGTGATCCGACCCGCGGTCACGGCGGCCCTAGGCGGCGGCGCAGCCATACGTGCGAGCACCCCTCCCCATGGTGGCTTCGACGATGGATCCATCGGCAACCCCCTCGCAGCGCCCCTCTCCAAACTGATGGCGGCGGCAGCCCCTTCCCCTAGCAGATCTGGCCTTCCGTGGTGGTGGCGGCGGCGGCCGTCCCGAGGCAGCCTCACCATTGCAGTGGTGGTGGCGGCGGCGGACTCACCGTTGCAGTGGCGGCGGCCTCTCAGTGGCGACAGGGTCCTCCTCGGCACGTAGATCCAGTAGCGGTGGTGGTAGTGCGTCCTCTCAGTGCGACTCGGTGCTCAAGGCTGCTCGGCCGGCTTGATGTGCCTGTTCGAGGTTTCTCAAGGCTGCTCGGCCGGCTTGATGTGCATGTTCGTGACTTCAGTCAAGTCCAGATCGAGGGCGCTGCCACTTCTTTAGCTTTCCGTTCTTCATTCATTCTCTGTTTCTTATGCAGCTCTGGTACAGCAGCATCGCCGATGACGGCCCACAGCACAAGCGCTCTCAGGCCGCCGCCGCCGCCGGAGCCGGCGTACCCGACGAGGTCGTTAAGCAACGTCTGAGTCGAGATGTGCCGGCAAGCTCTCAAGGGTATACATGTCATTTTAGATGCCACTGACATCATTCCTGCTTTACGGCTTGTTCGTAGCCGTTCTTAGAATTTAAAATTTATTATTTATTTATTTGCAGACTACGATTATCAAAATCCCATATTTTGGTTCACAATATATTTGTGATATTTATAATTTTCTTATTTGACAACATGTTCATCTATTATTTTTTATTTGGCATCATGTATTTCTGCTACAAAGAAGGGTATTCATGTCATTTTACTAGCCACTTCACAGCTACTAGCCTAAATGGACGACAGTGCTATTTAGGGAAGGAAATTTGAACTTAGTGCCAAATAAGAAAGTTCAAATTTTTTTAGTGCCAAATACAGAAGACTGATTTGTTTCAGTGCCAAATATATAATTCTCCAAAAAAATAAAATTGTTGCTTGTTTATATAAATTTAAAAAATTACTTAAAAACAAATAAAACACTTAAAAATATTAGATAAAATTACAGGAGGATGTGATAGTATGACGTGAATGTCTTGTATTTGATAGACTAAAACTAAGAATTACACGTTTGTCAAAAAAATTAAGAATTATAGGGCTGTTTGAATCATTGGAATTGAATTCATTCTAATAATTATAATTTAGACATAAATTAATTAAGCTAATATGGCTCTATATAGAATACATTTGTACATTATTGTTAGTCGTACAATGGAGATACTTATATGTAGCATTTCTACTACAGGAAAGCAAGTTGAAAGACGTGGTTTAAGTTGGAGAGTACAAACATAGCATGGTGAGCTATAGAATCAATTTTTATCTCTCACCCTATGAATTTAATATAGTCTTATATGTGAATTTGAAAAAGTTACGGAATATTAAATTTCAAACCAAATAGCTTAACCCACTATATAGATTCTAATTCCTCTAAAATAAAATGATCCAAACGGCTCCAGTTAAAGATGCAACACTTATTAGATGATGTGGCACTTGGGGGTATGACACGTTGTGCATAGATTGAAAGTTAGTGTGGTTTATTTTTATAGGAGATATAAATTACTTTTTTCATCTCTAAAAAAATTAATTTATAGAGTTGTTTTGAGTCAATTTTTTTATAAGTTTGATCAAATTATAGAAAAGAGTACTCAGATTTATAACACTAACAAGTTCGCTTAAACTTATCAGCCATGGTACAGTGTTTTTCTCTCACAACAAATCAACGAACAATATTTTTCAGCCTAGTTTTTCAGCGAAACGAACATGATTTGTATTAATTTAATCAAACTTAAAAAGGTTTGACTAAGATAATTGATTTATTTGAGAACGGAGGTAAAGCTGTGATAGCGAGTGATACAGCACCATATCACAGGTTCACGTTGGGACAGCCTGACAGCATTCAGGTTCAAAATTGCTCTCTATAGTTCTTATACCATGTCCATCCTTTATCTAAAACAATGGCAGCACGACAATCTTATAAAACAGATATTTTCAGCACAGCATACACAATCAAATCCAACAAGAACAAGGCTTCTTTGGAACATCATCTCAATGTGCACGTGTGATTGGTTACTGAAGAGCACGGCAGAAATTAGATGCTGGATAAGAATCATAAGGGTAAATGTCGTTCATGAAGCTCTGTACACAATCTCAACGTGTCTCAGGTTGTCCTGGGAGGAAGAAGGGAGGAGATAAAAGGTCAGCAGGCCATCCTTTGCATGAGTGAACTCCACTTCGTTTTCATCAACTCTACAAAGCTCCGGCCTGGTGGCTGAATACGCCCCAAACCGCCCTGGTCCTCGGCATTTGATATGAACTGTCGTAGCTGAAGAATCTGCAACGCTTGAAACATTGTCAAGTGCACCACCAGAGTTGAACATGTCGATCAGTCCAAGAGGCGCAAACCGAACGACTTCGCCGAAAATCTGGTGTAAGAAACAAAAAATTTCTGTAAAAACATGATATTTACAATGTGGAATACATGTAAGAAGGAAGGCGAGTGGAAATTAATCTGACGTCTGACCTTTATTGGTGAAATGTTGTAAATCTCACATGTCATAGTAGACAGTGAAACCTCCAAACTTTGGTGCTTCTGAAGCCTTGAAAGAGAACCTGGAAGACAAAATAGAGGGCTAATCAGTCACCGATGGTATAGTGATAAGATGGGATTGTTAGAAAGAAACAGTCGGCCAACAATATTTACATGAACCGAAAGCATATACTGCAGCCTCTCCATTCCAATTATCACCAGCTATCTCCTCGAGAGATTCTACATCGGACGGTGAGAGCTGACCAGTGATGTTTATGTTGATAGGAACATAAGCAGTTTCTTTCACTGGCCAAACCCACTGTCCAGCTCCCTGAAAATTGAACACACCAATGACACCAGTGAAATTGTTCAAGTTCCATATCTTCATCAGACTGCAGAAGAATTCACAGATTAGTATGCTATAAGGAACAACTTAGTAGCAAAAGAAAATGGTAAAGCTATATTCGTGCTCATACCTTTTGCCATCCATGACTGGGTCAGTGAACAGACAATCGCGTGTAGGACGACCAGCATACCTTGCTCTTAGAATCGAGCCGTCTGGTAGAACAAGCTTTTTTAGAACACTGAAATCATGCACCCCGGGTTTGTCGCTGCATATCACAACAAATATACATGCATGGTGAACTCCTGTGCTTGAGTTAAAAGCAACCACAAGAAAATAACTAGAAGATAGAAGTAAATGATCTACACAAAACTACCTGACATAAACACCACCTCCACTCAGGGCTCTAGCTGCTCCGTGAAATTCCGCTGATTCATGCTTGCTCTTCACAAGGAAAATGAAAATTAGCTGCTACTGAAGTATAGAAACGAACCTAAATATACTGCTCGAGATGTCAAAATCTCACATGGAACATATCCCAGTCAGGTATGAAGATTTCTCCCAACAATAGGCTATTGAATGCCACAGAAGCGATGTGCAGAGTTTGCAGTGTTGGTTCCCGAGGCATGAAATCTTCTGAGGCTCTAGCAACTGCACTCTTCAAGGCACTAGAAAACAACCAAGAATTATATCAGATTCTATCTACACAGTAGCTCATATTTTCCACAGCTAGAAATATGCTACCTAAAGATGCTGTCTGAATTGTGACTCATGCAGCAGATTAGGTTGTTTGTTTTGAAGTTCTGGGCAATGGATTCCTCAAGAGCCTGCTGATACTTTCGAGTTACTGCAACACGACCACCAAATCCGCATCCAAGAGTTTCCAACACGTTCTGAACATCAACCTTCACGCCATCCACACCCACACTAGAAAGGTAGCTGTGCTGATCATTGTAGAACTCATATATCTTGTCAGGATCAATGATGCCCACTCCAAATTTCTCCAAGCTGTCCATGGCAATATCCCTCAGGTTCGCAACATTACCCGGCGATTGGACTGGGTAAACAAGCTTTGGATTATACTTTTTCATCGCATCAGATGTTGCTAAGATGCCTCCCCAATATCCAAATAAAGCATGCCACATGTAGACGCACCTATGGTTTCATGCATTGCATTTTAATCAGCCAAAAATAGTATGAAGATTAAATCATCATAGAACAAGTACTTTGACAAAAAAAAACAATTACTTGACTCCATGTTTTTCTTTTATCTTCTTAATGAGGTCCCCAAGATTCTTGCAGGTTTCTCCCCTGAACTTATGGTTCTCCTTCAGATCAGTCAGCCTATGCGCAAATCTGGCATAATTACAATACAAATCAGGAACCGACCCTCACCCTGTGCACACTTTTATGGGTTACCAAAGGATGGAACACTAACACGGCCTGCTCACGGATGGCTTCGTCCGCTTCCTTGAATTCATCAACTGTTTCTTGCCAACCATCATCTATAATCAGAAACCTTGGTGGCACACCACCTTCACGCAGACTGTAGGATAAGAAATGCATTATCACTTTATCAGCAAGTGATAGCTATGAAAAGGAGGCAAAAGATACTCTTCTTAGTGTGTATTCCAAGTGAAACATTTGTTCTTGCAAACCTTTGAAGGCCCTCCTCAATCCCACTTGGGTTCACAGCTTTGTAAAATGCATCCCAAGTGCACCACCCAAACCAGTCCAAATTTGAAGGAATCTGATATTTTGTGATGAATTTAAACAAGGCATGAGAAAAAAGAGAAGAATGAAAAGCTTCCCAAGAAGCAATATTACCAAATCAGGTGAAATGAGCATAATTTTACCTCCTTGTCCTCTATATGACTGAAAGTTCCTTTGATCTTGGACACCATCCTAAATGAAGAAGATGAACAATTAAGCCAATTGTTGAAAAGACCATGTCCATGTGGTATTTTAGGACTTCTTTTTTATCGACTGCCCCTAAGCAAGTACAACTATAAGAGGAAAGTTATTTTAGGACTTGTGTAAGAGAATGGCATTACTTGATGGATTCCTTCAGAAGCTTGAAGGGGTTGTCCCCTGAGTTGATGAACACTGCATCAACTGCTTCCATCGTCTGGACATCAGGATCACCTACCAACAGTCCAGCATTTCTTCTCTCAGAAATTCCAATCAAAATCCCAAGTTTTGCACATTTTGATGCGATCGACGGATGGAGTACTTAAAGTTTCAAATTTCATCAGATGGCAGCAGACAAAGCTCACCGCTCTCGAAGCAGAACTGGAGCTCGTCCTCGGGGCTCCCCTGGAGGCTGGCCCGGAAGCCGCCGTCAAGAACCGGCAGCATCAGCGCGTACAGTGAGACATGCTCCGTCGCGGCCGCAGAACCCACCTCGCTCGTGGACTCCAGAAGCAGCATCTGCGTCTCCGCCGGCACAGCCGCCGCGCCGGCGCCCGTGGCCGGCATCATCCACCAGATCTTGAACCTGAACAGTGACAGCCACCTCCACCCACTGCGAGGCCACCGATCCAAGAACAAACCATCAGTCACAAATCAAATCGGTGGCACAGGCGCCCCCGCCCGCCAGCGCGTCGCGTTCTTGCACGCAGGACACGAGTACTATGACTGACTTACCTAGCCAGGTTTCCGACGGAGAACACGTGGCGGCTGGACGCCGCCGCCGCCCTGGCTCCGAGGAACGCGGCGCCCGAGGCGGCGGCGGCCTCGTCGTCGGCGACGCCGGCACCGGCTGGCCGTAGGGTGACGTTGGGCGGGGCGCGGACGAGGAGCTCGCGCCCGCCAACCAGCAGGGACGTGCGCTCGAGCTGCGCCATACTCTGCTGCCGCGGCGTGGGCGTGATGGTGCTGAGGTCCTGGCAGGCTCCCGGCATTGCTCTGCGGAGGAGGAGGAGTCTGCGCGATGTCTTATACGACGGCGACGAGAGCGAGCACGGCGGGCGCGAGGCCATCATGAGCAGCCTCGTCAGCGCCACGTAGGAAACGCGTCAGACGTTGAACTCCGGCAGTTCCGCGTGTGATGATAAGCTAGTACAGTAGTGGGTTTTGAGGGTTGTGGGGTGTGTGGCCTGTGGCCTGTGGGCGCATGGCCGCGTGGCTGAGAGGAGACGTGCGGAACGCGAAGGCAGGGGGAGGAGAGAGACCCAGAACGATCTCGAAGCTGTCGGGTCTCCTGGTCTCCCCGCCGCAGCTGCAAACCGGCGCCGGCGCTCGGGAGCACCTCGGGTCTTCGCCGTTCTGATCGTTTCTTCCACGCGGGGCCCTTCTCTCTCGCGTCGCCGTCGACCAGTCGCAGGAATCGCACCCTCGGAATTTCCATGGCCACACGGGTGTGAGACGATTTATCTATCGATCGTGTGACACGGAGCATATCTGTAAACGCGCGCGCACACACAATACCCATCCTGCTGGTTACCCAGGGCAAGAAGCACCCATTTTTTCTTCTTGGGGGGGGGTCGAAATTCAGCCTATTTTTTCATGAATAAGAAAATTAAATCACATATGGTGCTTATTTATAGGTGCACTTCTGATAAAACGTGGGCACTCAATTATTCTACCAGATAATAACTTTTTTCAAAAAGAAAGAAAAGGTCGACAAGATATGATGATAATGATAAAAACAGCACTCGAAGCGTGCAATGGGTGGGCCCGCACGCTCCACGCGACCATGCTGTGCACTCCGCCGCAACCGCTGCACTCATCGCGGCGCCCGCTCCGTGCCGCGCCACGATGCTCCAACGACGCCCAGCCCTCGCCGTCCACCGCGGCCGCCGGCGGCATCCGGCGCCTGGTGCTCTCGCCCGAGGGCCGAGCGAAGCTGGACCCGCGGCCGGACCGCGACTTCTACGCGTTCCCGCGCCTCGTGACGCACGCGGACGACGGCTTCATCGTCACGCTCACGGGCCTCTACCGGGAGCGCCTCCGCGCCGGGTGGGACGTGCTGGACCTCATGAGCTCCTGGGTCAGCCACCTGCCGCCGGAGGTCCAGTTCCGGCGCGTCGTCGGCCACGGCCTCAACGCGCAGGAGCTCGCCAGGAACCCGCGCCTGGACTACTTCTTCGTCAAGGACCTCAACAAGGACCAGCAGCTGGAGCTCGAGGGTGGCACCTTCGATGCTGTGCTCTGCACCGTCAGCGTGCAGTACCTGCAGTCCCCTGAAAAGGTACTTATCGATCATCTATGGCCTTTGGGTTGGGGCAGTTTTTCCCTATTGGCATCATCGAAGTGGCGATTTGGCATGAATCAGGTCTTCGCGGAGATGTTCCGGGTGCTGAAGCCGGGGGGCGTGTGCATCGTGAGCTTCAGCAACCGGATATTCTACGAGAAGGCCATCAGCGCGTGGCGGGACGGCACGGCGTACAGCCGCGTCCAGCTCGTGACGCAGTACTTCCAGTGCGTGGATGGGTTCACGCAGCCCGAGGTGATCAGGAAGCTGCGGTCGGCCGGCGGGTCGTCGCCGTCCTCGCCGCTGGACGCCGTGATGAGGCTGTTCGGCGTGGCGGGCTCCGACCCGTTCTACGCAGTTATCTCGTACAGGAACTTCAAGCCAATGTGAAATACTGATTGACGGAACCTGTGCTACCATTGGGATGTACATACAATCTATAGAATCACTACTGATGCAGAGCTAGTTTGTACATGTACACTGCAGCACTAGCTCAGCTGCGGACAGATGAAAGTTCAGAAGCTCAAACATCATCCATCGACCACCTGATTCAGAAACATGCTAGCAGCAATCCTTGTTATTACAGAAACCACACTTTCACCAACGTCGTTCGGGAACATGAACGAACTAAGACCACCTAGCTATTCAGATGAAGAAACATTAACAGGTAAGCCGTAGCGATCATATGTACAGAGCATAGAGAACCTTATTTAGGGGTCCTGCAACTGCGCGGAGCGGCTGGTCAGTGGGACGTAGCGCACGGACGCATCCTTCTGGATGCTGATTGATCCATCCGTGTTCTTGTCGACCACCTGCAGGTCCTGCAAATAGGTGCCAACCGGTATGACCATCCGGCCGCCAGGCTTTAGCTGATCAAGCAGAGGCTGAGGGATCTTGGGTGCCGCTGCAGCAACGTGGATAGCATCATAGGGTGCCACGTCTGGAAAACCAAGCCTGCCATCTGCAGTTTTGAGAGCAGTCAGACATCTTAAGCCCCAGGTTATTTCAGAGTTTGCTGGCCCCAACAGAACAAAGTTTCTCTAGCTAGAGCATCAAGAACAAAATTCCAGAACCGGGATATATAATGAAAAAGGTCTACATTTGAAGACAACTTGATTTCGCCATTTGGCACAACAATGACATGTACTAGCAGGCGGACTGAATCCCATTTGGAAAAGAAAAAAAAAATGTACTGCAAACTGTCTACACTTTGAAATAGCATGCCAGCAAGTAAACAGGAACCAACAGTAGCCAACGTTGCTTCATCATAACATGCATACTGAAGAAAATAACAATCTTTACAAGCTTTAAAGGCTGTGTAAACTGTTGCTTAATGAAATTAATAGCTCAGCATATTATAGATAAACCAGTCATCATACCTGTAACATGAAAAGAGAGCGATCCATCCCTCAGTAGTGGAGCTGCAGCGCTTCTTTGCACATTTTCAATAGAAGAAGCAACAATCTCAGGAATGTGTTCAATTCCCACTGCACGACCTTCTGGTCCAACCATCATGGCAAAACAAGCTGTCAGGTAGCCGCTACCTACAATGTGACAGGAATGCATTTGTGACATCAATTAGAAAAAAAATAAATAGAGCAAGCTGTTTATTCAACCGCAATTGCTGATGGACACTGGCAAATGGCTAAAGTATCAGCAACAGACCTGATCCAACATCCAGAGCATGCATTCCTGGTTGCAAATGATCCTTCAATAGCTCTAAGCAGGTTGCATGCATGTGAGGAGCAGATATTTGTTGCATTGAAACCAATAGGCATAGGACTGTCGACGTAAGGGGTACCCTCTGGTACAAATAGCGCTCTATCAATCGTTTCCATTAATTCCGCCACTTTATCAGTTCTAACAGCACCATACTGCTATAGGTACTCAACCAGAGCTTTGTTCCGGTCCAGTGATGGTTGAGTCCAATATTGCTGGAAGTTAATCAAGAATCGGTGAGACTCCACTTTATATGTATGGCTACAGTATGGAATTGCAGCAATAAACAGGCTATCACAGTGATAATTTGAATTAACTTTCTTTTCTTATAACAGAAAAAGATTAAACATAAATGAAACAAAAAGACTAGTGTGGCATCAAGCCCTTTAACATTAATACAAGTTAAATGTCTATTTACTTGGACATTTCACAGGGGAACTAAAAGTTTGTATGAAGCTTCTCTTGAAGAATAAGAATAGTTCTGTGAAGATTCAACAATCTCATCAAACTACAAGTGCACACTAAAACAGTATTTATACAGCTAGCTCAATTCTAGGATCATGAACCCCCCTCATCTGGTCCACTTGTACAGCATATTGCCGTATTCAGAATTACCATGGAGCAGCTAGATATTTGCAAGCAGCAAATGGCCCGTCCAAAATTCTTTGTGGATTACCCAAAGAAATTATTTGTGGATACTTATGTATCAGAAAGTTGCGGCAAGAGGTGAGCTTCAGATACATCATCTCTGCTACACTTGACACAAGCTGGCTATCTTCAGCTGCCCACAAACAAGAAGGGAACTTTTTACATTTTTTATTAGGACTTAGTCAAAACCAAATCTTAGTATAAAAGCCATGTAACCAAAAGCAAGCTTCATTCTAGTGCAAGCCAGTTTCCAAATTTGTTCCTCCAAAACTAAGCCTACCACTCAATTCCACTTAATCGGTTTAACCTAACCCGTGCAGCCATCCAATTTACTGTAGCCACTAACAACTTAACAGGTGCCCGTGCGAGATAATCCGGGTAAATTCCACAACCAAGGGAGCTCAGAGACGAAACGGAGGTGGAAGGAGGGGGGACAGGGCGTCGTTGGTAGCGTGCGACCGCCATATGGTAGAACTTGAAGCAGCCATATGGTAGGTGGCGAAGCAGCGCCGCAGCCTCGGCGGAGGCGGCGGCGGGCCCAGGCCGACGGCGAGGCACATGGCGATGGCAGCCGTGTCGAGGGGCGAGCCAAGGGGGGGGCAGGGGGCGGACGCGCAATAGTAGTATAACTTAATATTTTTATTTATATTAAGAGGAGATTATATAAAATTCGAGGTCTAGATAATATAATTATACAAAACACAACTAGATAATAAAATTATCGCAATGATGGCAGCCGTGTCGGGTATAATTCTTGACCGCCGCAAAAAAATCCGTTATAGGAGAGCCACTGGGGAGCAGCGGAGAGCCGGGGGAGCAGCGGTCGGCTGCGGTGGTGGCTTGGAGAAGCCTCGTCTCGACAGGTGGGGGTGCCGCCGCCGCACGCGTTCTACTACCACGCCACGGCCACCGCGACCGGCCACGGCCCTTCTAGTTGCAAAGCCTGCAGCCTGCAGGCTGCCAGCGCCCCCGCGAAGGCACACACAGACACGTCGCCACGGCGCGGCGAACCGACCGCACGAACTGAAGTGCTATGGCCTACCCATCATCGCCTGTGTTCCACCAGCACCTAGAGAGGAGCTGACTAGAGGTCTAGAGGCAACTAAAATTTTACTGTATAATATACACTTTTATGCGTTGCACGAGTCGAGTTGATTCTAGATATACTTATAAATAGAGTCATGAGTTTAGGCTTTAGAGTCCGTGTTACAGCAAACAAGACAATATACTGCAGGCTCACATATTTTTCACCTGGATTCTGAGCTCCAGGCGCGGTGATGACGACTGGGCTGTGTTTTGTTATGTCAAATACCATAACATCACGAAAATATTCCAAGAAATGCATTTGTAACAATTTCTTTAAGCGATGTAGAAACTGCATGTGTTTACAAGACATTGATTTTTTTTTTTTTAATATCACGTGACAAGACTTTGATCAGGCATACGATTCCGCTGATGCATCCGGGCATCTTTCTTTATCCTTTCATGCCAGACACGCTTGGATAAATGCATTCGCCCAGATAAACAGTTTTGGAAGCTCCATGGGGTACCTCAAAAGTCTAAGAGCAGTTGTGGCAACACACGCTCCAGGTGGGTGGGTTCGATGACACTACCATCCTCCGCTTCAGCGATAAAAGCAGAGCGTTGAATAGCCTCTGCAAGAGAAATTTCAGTTAAACTACAGAAATGGAATTACTTCCCCAACATCAATTAGCTTGTAGTGATGCAGCATTTTTTCAGAGGTGCAAACCTGTAACAAATATTCGCAGAAGTTCGCAGCTGACTTTGAGAGCATTTGCATTGGCTGTCAGGTGAACATATCATGTTAGCATATCATGATCAAGAACCATGCACTCAGTGAAGTTACTTTCAACTGTATATTGTCCACTAGAAACCAAAGGGTGACGATAATTGAGTCAAATACATCTTTCGAACTCTTTGTAGTGTCAATTCTTCATCTCTTATATATGTTTTTTTAAAAAGAGTCCCGCCATTTTCGTTAAAGAACACCATTTGTTCACCAAGTTTCATCTTACTGAAACTCTTACCCCGAGTCACAAGCAGAATTAAGCCACTAAGACATAAAAAGGCCAAAAATACCAAAGTTAGGAACCGGTTTTAACATAGTATCTGGGAACCATACACCATCTAGTTCCAATCTAGACAAAAGAACAGGAAGTTCTTTTTTTCTAAAAAACACTACTCATGATGATGTGGGATGGGGTTGGAGAAACAACTCGAGCCCTTGAGCTGCATTAGATGGAACACAGGGAAGGAGGCTCTTTTCAAGCTTGATTTCCCAGTTCAGTCATTCCTCATATATAGAGCTGCTCATTACAAATCCATCCAAGCTAACAAACAACGTGCATGTCTAACAAACCCAGTTCCAATCCTAACAATCAAACCAAGCTAAAACTTGATAACAAAGCAAATAAAATCTTTGTCTGGCCTACGGTGGCTGGCACGGCCTTCTTGCAGCCGATGTTCAAATGGGTGCCCCCCAAGTAATATGAGACTCTACATAACCTAAGGATCAGTGCTTTGCGCAGACAGCCTTGAACGCTTGAGGCATGTAGGTGCGGTTACACAAGTCAATTGGTGACAAACAATGTAAAATTGTCTTACCCATTTCATATAGCTATTGGCAATAAGATGATATTACATCTGCTGTAGCAATACAGCTCACACTTTGAAGGTATAAAAGCCATCTACTTGGACAGGAAAGTGGTGCTAAGCTAAAAGAATTTGTGTGTGCTAGGTGACAAGATAAGTGTTTACTGTTACAACTACTAATCAGAGCAAAGATAAGTGTTTACTGTTACAACTATTAATCAGAGCAAATGGAAGAGTGGTTGATGAATAACTGATCAAACCTGTTAAGGGCATGGCTTGCCACACAGAAATCTGCTACGAATTGGATTTATGCAGACCCCTTAGTAATTTCGGAAATAACTTGTAACCAAAAATTTTGTCTAATGGGCATATGCTATGCACACCTATGTTGGGAGACAAAAGTTTAAGCACATTTTTCTTTACTCGTACTTACACTTGGTTGCGCAAGAGGACACATTAGCTACTGGGGAAACATTAACAGGTTCTTTGCAAACGGATGCCATTTGGCTGCACCAACACGTGTACTTCCTGGAAGCCATTTCATGCCGCTAGCTCTAGTAAAAACTAAAGAAGGAAAGGACTCTCTTACCAGTTGTATTCCGATTTCTCCTCGAGGTCTCTGGAGCAGGCTGACGATTATTATTAGAAAATAATAAAGCACACAGGTCAGTAGAAGGTGAAGGGACAGTAAAAAAGCCTGAACATCTAGGTTACGGGGGACCAACGAATCACCTCGACGTCGATGTCCTCATTGCCGCCGCCACCCTTCCCCACCCGCCGCCGCCACACCAGCTTGAAGATGGCGTGAATCAGGTCCTGCTCAAATCCCAACAGCGCGTCATCAGATAAATCAACACAAATCGGATAACAGGAGTTGCAGCCGGAAGGAAAATCAGAGGGAGGGTCCGTTGTGGTTCGTGCGAGAAACTAACAGGATCGAATGTCTCGGCGGCGGGCGAGTTGCCCGTCGTCCCATCTTCGTCCATGCCGGCTCGCGATTTCGCAGGACAAGGGGGTGCGCTTTGCGCAGCAAGGAAGGAAGGAGAACTGGGCCACCTGGGGCAGAACGCAGCAGGGACGGCGGCGTCACGATAGAAGGGCCTACACAATTTGGCCTCCGTGGCCCGTGGGCCGTTCAGGGAGTCGTAGGCTGGACTTCGTTTCGATGTGAAAAATCCATACAGCCATACAGGGCTCATCGGGACTAGGGAGACTTTAAGGCCCAGTTCGCTTGCCCCCTGTACCGTTTCAGCGAAATAATAGTTTTTTTTCAAATAAATCAGTATCAGCATCACCGCTTTTTTCCAGTCAGCCGAACAGAGCCTTACTTAACTCTAAACCCATTTGTATTTTTTTAATGATTTGTGTTCTAGGGCAAGTCTATGGCTAAACCACTCGCTTCTTCCGCTCCATCGCCTAAGGTTTTGAATTCTGGAAGCCAATATATTTTCGGAGTTCAACCATACTTTACACCGCACCATATTTGTTGCACTACTATGGTATAGTCATTTAAGGGGTGTTTAGGACGGCTCAATTTCATATTTTTCAGCTTCGCTCCATATTTTTTAAGCCAAACAAGTTCAGCTCCATGCACTCCGTTGAAGAAGAAAAGGTGGACTTGTGAGAGCACCTAAATGGTGCTTCACAAACTCTAGGTCTTTTGTGGAGCTGCTCAACGATGAAGTTTGTGAAGTTTATGGAGCGGTCCCAAACACGCACTTAGTCCTAAGGCACTATATCTTAGTTTAAGAGTAGATTGGATATTTTATCGTGTTCGCCGCAGCGTGACGCCGTGACCTAATGAAGATGTTGTGTGCACAAACAGGCGAGGCTGTGTTCGTTTTCATAATACTCTGCATCTCTCTCTGCCCAATATCATTACTTCAGCAGTGGTCGGCTGGTACGATTTTTACTGTTCATGTTAAAAATACTGTTCATGCTAGAATGTTGTGAGAGAAAAAACTGTTCCGGTTAAAAAAAAAGCCGAATAAGCCAGCTTCCATCTACTTCATTAGCATGCTTGAATGGCAGATCTCCTGCCTGTTCTTCATTCTCAAAACAAAACATCAGTAGCATGCTATGATCCGCACACTGATACAAAGTTACAACTTACAAATGCATGTCATGGTACAATAAAACTCCAGAGATTTTTTTTAAAAAAAATGTCATGAGACATCTTTATTGTCAATAAACAAACAAACCGTGAACGAAGTAGATGGAAGAATTCGATGAAGTCAACGAGGCATGCTTTAACTGGCCACTTCTCTAGCTCTGCAGCCTAGCACCTTAGACCACCAGCTAGTACTTGCCCCGGTACATCTCGAAGAGGACCGTCGCCGGAGTCGGGTTTCCCAGCAGCTTGAACAGGGAGTAGCCGCGGGCCAACCTGAACTTGCCGGTGCCGCCCACCAGGGGGCGCTCGATGGTGCCGTTGAACCCGAGAACGGGGCCCTGCATGGACAGCGTGCTCCCCTTGTACTCGCCGGCGGTGAACACGCAGGTGAAGGAAGTCAGGAACTCGGCGCCCCCATCAACGTCGGTGCCGACGACGATTCCCTGAAACCGCCCGACGAGCTCGGACGCCCGGTCCCGGCCGACGCGCAGCTCGTCGTCGAGCACGCCCACGGACCCGAACGACGAGTTGGAGCCCCGCGGGGACGCCACCGATGATAAAAGTTTCATCAGAACAACAGCTATCGCTACATGATATATAATGTAAATAGAGAGATATAGATATGATAAAAGTTTCATGAGAACGACACTTATTTATACTGTTTTCAATATCAGAGTGTCTTGAACAGGGACATTAAACTTGCACTTGTACTGGCCTAACGACGCGGTGCTCTTCTCCCTCCCTATCTGCACACTTCCTTTTCTTTCCCAGCTGCCCCCACGGCCCCACCAGACCAGCCTCCGTCGCTGATCAGGCCACAGGCGCCCTCGCCGGCGTCTTCAACGTCCACCTACAACAGCTATCGCTACAGTCCTTCTCTTCCCTAATGTTTGTCCTCTTCTTTTTTCTCTTACCCCTTTCTCAGTTCTCACCATGCTGCCTCGGCACCGCCGCCCTGGATGCCGGTGACCGCACGGGGACCTTACCGCCCATCTTCCACCTCCAGTGCCTTCACCCGCCCTTCCTGTCTCAATCGGAGAGGAGTTGAGTATAGGTCTACTAGAGCCAACTAAAATTTCATTGTATATATACTTTTATGCGTTGCACGAGTTGAGTTGATTCTAGAGGTACTTATAAATAGAGTCATCACTTTAGGCTTTAGAGTCCGTGTTACAGCAAACAAGACAATACTGCATGCTCAGATATTTATCACCTGGATTCTGAGCTCCAGCGCGGTGATGACGGCTGGGCTGCGTTTTGTTGTGTCAAACACAATACAAACACGAAAATATTTCAATAAATGCATTTGTAATAATTCCTTAAAGCACGGTATAGAAGTTGCGTGGGTTTACAAGATAAGGATATCCAGGCATCTTTATCCTCTCATGGCAGACATGCTTAGATAAATGCATTCGCCTAGATAGATGGTTTTGGAAGCTCCATGGAGTACCTCAAAAGCCTCTGCAAGAGAAATTTCAGTTAAACTACAGAAATGGAATTGCTTCCCCCAACATAATTAGCTTGCAGTGATGTAACACTTTTTAAGGGAGTGCAAACCTGTAACAAATATTCGCAGAAGTTCGCAGCTGACTTTGAGAGCATTTGCATTGGCTGTCAGGTGAACATACAGCATACCACTGAACAAGAACAATGCACTCAGTGAAGTTACTTTGAACTGTATATTGTCCACTGGAAACTAAGGTCCCGTTCGTTTCGCTGAAAAAATAAACCGAAACACTGTTCCGACTGATTTGTTGTGAGAGAAAAACACTATTCCAACTTAAAAAACAAACTGAAAAATACGGATTATAAGCACAAGCGAACATGGCCTAAAGGGTGGCGATAAATGAGTCAAATACATCTTTCGAACTCTTTCTAGTGTCAATTCTTCACTTATAAAAAAAAAGGAAACCAGTCCCGCAATTTTCATTAAAGAAAACCATTTGTTCACCAGGTTTCATCTTACTGGTACTCTTACCCCGAGTCACCAGCAGAAATTGACGTGTTTGGTTTGCCGAACGACTTGATGTGGAACGTTCTGAACCTACATCCAAGCCTGCTCGTGGTGTTTGGTTTGAGTCACAGCATCGATCGCTTCGTCATCAACTCATTCCCTCCCTAGTATAAATGCGTCACCAACTTTTCCCTCTGGAAACCATTGGACAACATGGTCCGTGGACCAAACCAAACAACGAACGTCATCAACCGATCCTACTAAGAGTGAACCCATGAGGGATTGTGCCAATTCTGGACGGGGTCACTCGTCGAACCAAACAGGCTGTAAATCACTCGGACATAAAAAATACAGAAATGCCAAAGGTAAAAGCCAGTTTTAACATAGTATTTGGAAACCTTACACCATCTAGTTCCATTCTATACAAAAGAACAGATTCTTTTTTTTTTTTTTAAAAAAAAAACACTACTCATGAATCATGATGTTGTGGTGGGACGGGCTGCAGAAACAGCTCAAGCCCCTGAGCTACATTGGGGCTGTTCGGCTGGTGCATAAAAGCACTGTGCACGGCTGATTTTTACTGTTTTCGGCTTATTTCCTCTCATATATTTTTTCGGATTCATTCAGATTCCTCTCAGCGAGAGGCTCTTTTTTCAAGCTTGATTTCCCAGTTCAGTCATTCCTCATATATAGAGCTGCCCATTACAATCCATCCAAGCAAACAAACGATGTGCATGTCTATTGTCTAACAAACCCAGCTCCAATCCTAACAATCAAACCAAGCTAAAACTAGATAATAAAGCAAATAGAATCTTGGCCTACGGTGCCTGGCACAGCCTTCTTGCAGCCGATGTTCAAATGGGTGCCCCCAAGTAACACATGAGACTCTACATAACCTAAGCATCAGTGTTTTGTGCAGACAGCTTTGAACTGTTTGAGCGCTTGAGGCATGTACGAGCGGTTACACAAGTCAATTCGTGACAAACAATGTAAAATTGTCTTACCCATTTCATATAGCTATTGCCAAATAAGATGATATTACATCCACTGTAGCAATACAGCTCACACTTAGAAGGTGTAAAAGCCATCTACTTGGACAGAAAAATGGTGCTAAGCTAAAAGAATCTGTATGTGCTAGGTGATCAAGATAAGTGTTTATGGTTACAACAACTAATCAGAGCAAATGGAAGACTCGCTGATGAATAGCTGATCAAGGCCGTGTTTGGCTGGCTGGCTGGCTGATTGTCGGCTGGCCAGCCACCTCACAAAATCACTATTCACATCCTGCCAGAACAGTATTTTCCTCTCACAACAATCAACCGAAACAGTATTTTTTCAGTTCTCCCGAACATGCCCCAAACCTGTTAAGTGCCGTGCTTGCCATACAAAAACCTGCTACCAATTGGATTTATGCAGACCCCTTAGTAATTTCGGAAATAACTTTTGACCAAAAATTGTCTAATGGGCATATGCTATGCACATGCACACCTATGTTGGGAAACAAAAGTTTAAGCAAAATTCGTGTCTAATGGGGTTATGCAAGAGGACACATTGATGATAGACATTGGCTTACAGATTCTTTTGCAAACGGATGCCATTTGGCTGCACCAAAACGTGGGCTTCCTCGAAGCCATTTCATGCCGCTAGCTCTAGCAAACAAGAAAAGGACTCGCTTACCAGTTGTACTCCGATTTCTCCTGGAGGTTTGACGATTATTAGAAAACTAGATATCTGCTCACGGGACCATGATTTTTTTTGTTCATATCTATTGCGGCCAAGAGATATTTTTCATGCGCACATTAACCTATGTTGTTGCAGAATCGGAGCTACAAGCATTACTCCTTACTGGAAACAAGACACAACTCGCCATGCCCCCACTTATCAGCCACAGAGTAGGATTCGCCTATGGGCCCACGTCGTGTGTCCAGTGTCGAACTGTTATCAACTAGTGATGTATTGACTAGGCCGGACATGAACTACTTTATTCCTTAGCCTGTGATCGGAGGTGGCCTCAGCGTCAATGACACAGAGGTTACAAACGAGAAGGAGAAAGGAGGGTCGGTCGGTGACTTTATTCCTGAGCCCAGGTGCTCGAAGTCTACAGTGGGGTTACAAACGAGAAGGAGAAAAGAGGGGTGTACGAGAGGCCCAGTCGGGTCCGACCGGAAGGGCCGAGGGCGACCGGAACTCCGCTATGAGCTAGGTGTTCAAGCGTGTGCTTGAGGGTTTGTGAGCTATCGATCTAGTGAGTCTGAACTTGAAGAAGCGGGCCACCTTCGTTGGAGGGAGCGCATCCCTTTTATAGATAAAGGGGATGGCTTTACAGGTGAGAGGGAGAGAGTACGGATGTTTCTAAGCCTTGTTGCCCACGCCGACGAGGGTAGCGATGATGGTAGGCGCCCAACAATACTGTTGACGTCACTGTAGAATGTCAGGTGCACATGGGAGGTTGTGTTGGCTTCTTTAGGAAGGGTGGATGTTGGTACCTGCAAAATACTGTTGGTTTGTGAGGAGCCCTACCACGTGTACCAGGTATGGTGAATCTTGGTGCCCGCAGTACCATCGATGCCCAGAGGCATGTGGGGGCTTTTTGCTGTACGGGAGTCCAAAGGCGCCTACAATACTGTAGATACAAATATCGGTGTCTATAATGCTGTTTGTGTCAGGGCGGTTGTGGAGCACTGTTCCCACAGGCGTATAGGGTATGGTCCCGGTATCGTGGTTTTAACTTTGTGCGCCGCCTTCTCCGTTTGCCCCTGGTCCCTTCCGAGCGGGCATCCCCGATCGGATGGCCCTAGTTGGAGAAGAGCGGCAAGCAGACTTCCTACGGGTCCCCGGTTGGAAAGCGTGGGGTCGAGTAGGAAGCAGTGTTTTGAGCCAGACCTTTCGATCGGAGGGACCACCCGGAGGCGGCTGGTGTCCGAAGCGAGTGCTCCGGTCGGAGAGGTGGGCCTTCCGATCGGAGAAGCCGTCCGGTGGCGGCTGGTGTCCGAAGCGAGTGCTCCGGTCGGAGAGGTGGGGCCGAGGAAGTTGACGAGCGGGCGTTAGTTCTTTCGGGTACACCTTCCGGTCGGTGACCGGACTATCCTTTCGGCCCGTTGTGTTTTAGACTCTTGGGCCGGCCCACGAACTACATGCTGTTTTCTTGGGCCGAGCCCTGGCGTAGAAGCCGGTCCCCAAGGGACCCCGGGTTTATGAACCCGACAGGAGCCCCGAGCCCCGGGCGATTTGAGCAGAATCGTCCGGGGGATTTTTGTCCTGCCAGCGAGCGCACCCACGGGTGTAGCCCCCGAGCCCCCGGGCGGTTCGGGCAAAACCGGCTGGGGGTTTTCTGTGTTGTCAGCGGGGGAGGTTTTTCTGTTGTGTCGGTAGGTGCGCGCGAGTGCACCCGCGGGTGTAGCCCCCGAGCCCCCAGGCGGTTCGGGCAGAACCATCTGGGGGGTGTTGTTTCAGCAGGCGTTTAGTTTGAGACGGATTTTTGTTTATCCGCGGCGTCGTTGTGCAACCGAGGGAATTTTTAGGCGTGGGGATGAGACATAACTTACTAATCCCGGTGTTGGTGCGCGCCGCAGATTGGGTGAGAAGGTTAGTTCGGAGAAAATGCTAGTGTCGGTG